TGTGTAGTGTGGGTGTGGTCAAGACTAACTGGCCCTGTGTAGGTGGGTGTGGTCAAGACTAACTGGCCCTTTGTAGCGTGGGTGTGGTCAAGACTAACTGGCCCTGTGTAGGGTGGGTGTGGTCAATACTAACTGGTCCTGTGTAGTGTTAATGTGGTCAAGACTAACTGGCCCTGTGTAGTGTGGGTGTGTTCAAGACTAACTGGCCCTGTGTAGCATGGGTGTGGTCAAGATTAACCCTTAGTGTTTTAAGTTCGTAGATTTACAGCTTGGACAGGGTGGCGCGGGGGGGGGGGTGTTTTGTCAACCACAATAAATATTTTTCTTGCTCGTCTAGAAATCTAACATAAGCTGTATTCAACGCGGGGAATCGAATCCCTGATATTAGTGTCCAAATAAAAAAATACAAAAAATTTAAAAATCGACTCAGGCTACCATAGCATGCCGTTTCCCGCATTTAGAATCCAAAGTTATATCATTAGTGGAACCATAATTAATGGATTTTTTTTAAATTTAAGCACAAAGCTATACAGTGAGTTATCTTTGCTGTGCCTACCACGGGTATTGAAACCCAGTTTTTAGCGTTATGAACTTTCAGACTTACTGCACAACCACTTGGCGGTGGGTGTTGACCAGCTGCCTTCCCTCTAGTATATCACTGCTAAATTAGGGGTGGTTAGCGCATTTAGTCCTCGAGTAGCTTTGCGCTAAATTCCAAAAAACAAACACTTGGTGGCTACGAAAATATTAGTTTTTTTGTATGACTTTGTTAGTGCCACAATGAAAGTAATTGACCAACAGCTAGTCTAGAAATCGACTAAGACACCAATAAGATCAGACACGCGAATGGCAGCAAGTCAGGGATATGAATCATAATCCACTTATTAAGAAGGAGATGATTATCGCCTCTATTTATTTTCTAATCTCTTAATCCTTTAACGATTTGGCCATTCGTTAAATAAGTAGTCTAAGATTGTATCATGTATTACATTCGGTATTCAAACATTGTATCATGTATTACATTTGGTATTCAAACATTGTATCATGTATTACATTCGGTATTCAAACATTGTATCATGTATTACATTTGGTATTCAAACATTGTATCATGTATTACATTCGGTATTCAAACATTGTATCATGTATTACATTTGGTATTCAAACATTGTATCATGTATTACATTCGGTATTCAAACATTGTATCATGTATTACATTTGGTATTCAAACATTGTATCATGTATT